TTTTTTTCAAATTATTAAGACCATCTGAACCAACAGTTATATTTGTGTCATCAGCATACATTGCGGCATGTGAATTTTCCAAACAGTTTGGAAGATCATTAACATATATAAAAAATAAAAGAGGGCCAAGGTTTGATCCCTGTGGAACCCCGCAATTTATCTTCCGAGGGGACGATGTTGCTCTGTTTACCTTACAGTATTGTTCCCTGTTAGACAAATATGATTTAAAGCATTCTAGTGCCTTGTCTTGTATCCCGTAATTAGATAACTTTTTTATGAGGATGACATGATCGACTGTGTCGAATGCTTTGCATAAATCAAGAAAAAGCACCCCGTTTATCCTACCAGCATCCATATTCAGTAGCCACGAATCAGTATTTTCTAAAAGAGCAGATGTGGTGGAATGACCTTTGCGAAAACCAGACTAACATGAACTTAAAAACTTATTTTCTTCCAGAAATAGATTGAGTTGCTCGCAGATAAGTTTCTCAAATAATTTTGCAATAACTGAAAGTACAGAAATATCGCCACTATGCATATCATCGTGTCGTTTAATTTGATTGATTGCTTGCTTGCTGGATTGTTTTGGACCTTAGTGCGTCATACTCAGAAGCACGTCACAATTGGGAAACACGTCACATTCGGCAGTTGTCGTCATGCATATTATTAGAGACCTTACGATTTTAGGACGGCAACGCGACGACGACGGCCAAATCAAGCTCCTTCAAATAAATGGTAGTAAAGACAGTTCGTCGTATATTATCAATCGTATAAATTGTAATACAGTTTTAGAAGTTGAAGACATGGGTTTTATGATTGGGAAGAGTTCTGCTAAACCTTGTTTGAAGTTGCACTTGTCGCATGTGGCTTAGAATGCAATCGTTGTATCAAGACGTGAAAATCTGTGATTTAGCGTTGTAAACAGAGCGAGGACAATGTCTAAATTATTCATATATTGTAATTACTCAATTCTCTATTGTAATTACTCAATGATCTATTGTATTGGTAGCCGTAGCCGTCCTAAAATCGTAAGGTCTCTAATGAGGCTATTCGTACGATCTCGTTGACTAAATAGTTGATCGTGACATGCACAACTCGACGTTATAGCGAACGAATATTCAGTTATGTTAATAATGTAAATTGGGTCACCACCAACCTATATGAAAATGGCTTTGTGATTGGTTGATCATAACAATAAAAGGCAATGAACTATAGAAATTATCTTTCTAAAGAATGAATCATAAACACTGATTACTATTTTTTACGTGAAGTCAATCACAAAACACGACATTTAAGCCCGCCGCACACGAGCGCACTTGTCGCGCGTACTTGTTATTCGTGACAAGTTGGATCGACAAAATTTC